TAATACTTGAATCAAATAAGGTATCGTACTGAAAGAAACAAATGACTAGATACTGAAATTGAACCGGTGGCAGTCACGGTGAAGAACGTGCAGATTGTAACATTATTACTTGACATTGCTTTCAATGTCTTCATGTTTTATGTGTGTTTCTTGCTTGTCATATAACTGCAAAAAGCTGCTTCTGCCATGTTGCTCATGTCAAAGAACTTCAGCATGATTTACATCTTACTTTTCTAGGGTGTGAATCACTTTATAACCATTCCTGATAGTTTTGATTTAAAAACAAGCTTGTTTTAAAAAGACACTGGCCCAGCATTTTTAAAACCTACAGGGGAATAAAAATAGAAATTAAATTCACAATACACAAAATGTTCATTTGATTAATTTATATTGGTCTTTTAACATCATATTAAACATTCAAGTGTATTAAATTACAATGTAATGCTGCTAATTTTTTTTAATTTGGTAGAATTTATTACATAATATTTATCATAAGGTTTCTAATGAGATTTATTTTAAGTATTGTTATTTATTCACACAAAGTCTTTATTTTTATTATAATATACACATATTAGTATGCATCATTACAATTTTATTATCATAGTTCCAATATGTGAAACCTTTTTTTAGCAGGATTCCTGGAATTACATAGAGAATACCTTGCTACAAACAAATAGATCTAGGCCCAGCATGAGTAAAACTGCCTTTAAACTGATGCTGTATATGATGGCTTACATTTGGTTTGGCAACACTGGATGTTCAATAAATGTTAGGCCTTGCATTATTTTGGAAGGTTTTTGCTAATTGCAGGTCTTAATGAAGTGATGCAAACACAAGTAAATAGATTTATACAGTTACTGTTTACATAACATGATGTGTTTGCCACTCTTGCACTAGTGCACAAAAACCTGGTTTGGCAATAAACAAAGGTGCTGGTATATTTTCGACATCTCATAAATTTATAGACGATTTTAGTTATGCTGTCTACCTACTGAGAGATTAAATGAAAATTTATTGATGTGATTTATAACATATTATATTACTTCAACAAATGTTGGATGCAGATTTATCATTTCCTTTACATAACTGGCATACGTATAAACAAGCATAATGAGATGTAAAATTATCAGAAATTAGACCTAGGCCTAGAGCTAACAAATGCCAATATGTGCATGCAAGCTGCAATAAAGATTTAATGAAAAGGGTACACTTTATTATTAGTTCTATACCTGAATCCTGTAAATACAATTGAGTGAAGATTTCAAATCCAAGTAAAATTTCTTCACTTTTGTTATTTAAAAATATGCCTACAGACACAAGATAGCTTGAAGGAAAATTGACTGATTTCACTGAAAATAAGTTGCACTAATAGACCTTTATATCTAAAATTGAAATATTGAATACATTTTCTGTTTAATTTTGGAATACTTGATTTAATGTTAAATCTCTACCTAGATCTTCTAGACCTAACTGTTACATGTATAACTCGAACTGCTTCTTACATCAAATGCATAAACAATTAGGTCTACATCTAAAATTAGCCGATCAGGCCTTTAGCACTAAATGTTAGATTTATATCTACCTGTGCAGACTTAATTAGGTGCTTATAATTGTATCAATTTAACAATTTACACATTGCTATAATGTAAATCAGGGTTGTGAAACTTTGTTCAGGAAATAAGCAACCCAGACTTTGAAAATAAACCCAAAACATGCCCAATTTTCCCCATGCTTCATTTCTGGTCACATGAACATTAAAGAACTTTAATTCAGTCACTTGTTATTGTGTGTTTAGGTTTTGCTTAGCTGATTAGATATTTAATTGACCATGCACTTTTTGTCATGTGTTCAATTTTCCTCATAACCGATCAGGACTAAAAACAAACCTAAAATATAACAAAAACATGACTACAAGAAAGGACAAGCCCAATTCCATGTTTTTTAAGTGGAACTAGCAACAATGATGTAGATCCAGATCTCGATCTAATTAACACATTAGGCCTAGGTACTAACATTAGATATGTTAGATTCTAACATTAGTCATGTTAATGTCTGATTTGTAGGAATGATTTAAAATCTAACCTATGTATATATGCCTAAAAGCCATATAGAGTATAATGCACTTGGCAAAATTGTAACAAACATAAGTATTTTTATTATCATACAGCCAAACTTGCAATGTTTAACAGAGTTTTAAAAACCCTGTTACTTAACTGATTAAATCATGGTATCAATGGTTAAAATATGGTGATCAGGTACTGTCAGACAGTAATATACACTTGGAAAAATAGTCTGTTCAATTGATAACTGATGTTTTCAAACTGCTTAATTATCTTTAAATTTCATTAAAACTTTTGAATCAGCTTGTTGTTTAAATTTCAAAACATTTCTAAAACCTTTCAAAATTTTCCATAATAGTTCCAAGCCTGGAAATGATGTTCAAAAATTTAATAACTTTCAAGGATTTCCAGGACTGCAGGAATTCTGTGCAATGGAAACTATAATGCAAGGCTATTGTCAGATAAAGCATGGCCGAACATGGCAACATGGGCTGACATTATACAATATGATCCCAATGCTGCTTAAACATAGCATATTCAACTTTTGTTTATGTATGATTTACATGTTCAAATTCCAAACACTGACATTCATTATTAACTTCTGAATAATAATAACAGCTCTATCTTAATACTTTCTGTTCAACATTTCTATTCAAATCACATTTTTATCATGAAATTTTTATTTTATAGAAAATACATCAACAAAACCTGTATAACTAGACTAAAAAATTCTACCAATAAAATTAGGTCTTTTTAAGCACTATAGCATATTATGGTTGGTTCAAACAAGATAAAAGTTGTCACTGACTTTATCAATCTTTAAATGTACTATGTCCAGATATGAAAGACAAACAAAAATCCAGTTAAAAGAGACATTAATATATTTTAGGGTATCCTAATGGAAGACAAAATATGACTGTCTACTTCATGAATTTTAATATATTAATGATGAATCTCTGAGTCAACCAGACCACTTATAATATTTAACCCCCGGGATGCATAGATTTGGTATTTTTTTAACTCTTGAAAATTTTATGTAACATGCGCTGTCAAACAAGGAATCCACTAACTACAAACCAAAAAAGATCTGGTCTAGATAAAACAATTTTCTTTTTTCACAGATAGAGAAATATTTACCAAACTTCACCTGAGGTCATGGTGTTATTGTAATACTATATCTTCAGAGATTCTTGCAAAGCCAGAAATCATCGGGAATTGTAGCACATCCAGCAGATTTTCTGTGAAGAATGCAAATATTTTGGAGGACAGATATTAAAAGCATCAGATTCAAACCTAACTTGGAAGTGTAAAGTAGAAAAATGCTCAACATGTCACTAGTGATGTGGATGTGATCATGACAAGATGCCAATTGCATTAGTGCTGATTCAAATTCTCAGTGACTATAGAAAAGCATACCTATCTACAGACTGGGTATGTTCACAGAATTGTAGGAAGACATGGTCAGCCATGGACAGAGCAGTTAATGATTACTTTAGTGAAGACAGAAAAACATTATGACCATTGCATGTACAGAAAAAGCCACAGCAAAGATTCCACCTACAGATCCCTATATTTTAGTCCAATTATTACAGATCTCATGTGGACTCAGAATTGGTGCAGTTGCCTCAGCTTCATTGTTAAAGCAAATAGGTGTACAAAATTTTATTTAGACTAAAATATTTTCAGTTCTCAAAATATTCATTACTTATGTGGTACCCAAAACGTTTGTTATCAGTTCTCAGTTTATGATTACATGCCAGCAGTGACAAGGACACTGTGACTAAAAAAACACCAAAATCTTCAGTGGAATAAACTCCTAACATTACAAACTCTTTACCTGCTGCAAATTAGAGATATTTGACTTACCATTCCATGTAAAGGTGTTCAAAATTTGTATATCAGGCCTTAGTGTTTAAAATAGTATTATCTCTTCTAAAGAACAAAGAGTATGGCATTATATGATAAAGTTGCTGTTTACTTTAATCATTTTGATTTTACTTAATACCAAACAGATATAAAATAAGATAAATACATGACCAGCTTTACATCTCATTTCCAAACACAAAAAAGCAGAAGAATAAAGCAAGATAAATTTTAAACTTGCAAGATATTCTTTTTCTAAGTAGTAGAAGTACTGTTTTAACAAAAATTATGTTTTAAATAAACTTGAGAGATGATCATTGTGGCTTTTAGTAAGTCATATTATTTGGCAAGGTTTGTTGATTAGATTTCTTATTTTCTGTAAAATAAAATCTATATGAATGAATTTCCATCCAACCTCGTGTCTTATTTCTATGCAAAAAAACATGAAAGAAAATTTATATTCCAAGAAAATGCTTTTCTTTCTAATGAAGTGGTTGTTTATGTAAACTTGGAGATGGATGTTTACATCCCAACTTCTAATAGGAAACACTATTTCAGAAGACCTATTCTTGTTAATTTTTTTTGTTGTTGTTGTAAAAAATAAAATTTCATATCAGAGAGAAATGTTCATCAAACTCTGGTGCATATTATAATACTTTTATGCAATCCTAATGTGAGTATAAACCTCCCTTTAATAATTTTAAAAAAATTACAGATAAAATCATAGATGTATTTCTAAGCATTCATATTCAATGGATCAAAAAAATAAACATATGTACTCCAGCAAAAAGTGAGAAGTACTTTAAACACCATCATATGGAAAAAAATTCAGTTCTAAATTTTTTCTGCAAGAGCTGTTTTAATGACTTTCTTTTACTAGTGTGGTTACAATTCTACATTGAACCTACCCATTAGCCAAATAATAAGGGTCTTTAACATTTGTAAAAAGTTTATTGGACTTAAAATTAACATAAGTATCATTTCCTTTTTGTACCCAGCTTAAATCACCTTAAATGTCAGTAATAAAATAATATAAAGTTAGAACCCTTTTTTTTTCAAAAATTAAAAGAAACATACAGATGGATGTACACCTCCTTGCAAGAGCACTGATGTCTGTGGTGGGATTTGCCCAGGAAAAGAATGACCCTGCTGGTATACAAGACCAAGCTGATGTTGAAACTGTGTTGCTGGACTGTGAGCAGTCAAGGGTGTAGCATTCATCTGGTTAATGGTAGACCTTGGCATGTTTGGTATATGTTGAGGTAACTGATAGAATTGCTGGAATAAAAATTGTTTTGGTATTAATTAATTATATATTTTTAAAATATTTATTAATATTAATATATATAAATAAAGGCAACTAATATAAATATATATTTTTATATATTTATTTTTTATATATATTTATATAATTTATATTTAATTATTGTTTTTCCTTTAAATTCTCCATTGTTTAAATGTTTTAGTAATCTTATGAAGCAAAATAGTTTATATATTTATCACAAAATCCCCTTTTTTATTTTGTGCTATCACTGAGTAACTGCTTTATGAAGCAGTATGGTATTAAACAATAACCAGAAACACTTATTAAGCCTCTTGGACAACACTAATTTTACCTGAATAAAGTATGTTCTGCTGTATCTGTTGGCTAGTAACCACAAAACAAGTGAACTTAAAAATCATGCAGGGAATAAATAAAATGATAAAGTTATTGTTTATTAATTCAATACTATTACAGAAATCAATCCTGTGTTTTAATGTTTAAGATAAACAATTACAAAGCACTACTTCCAATTTAAATGTTAAATGTAAAATATCTTTGTCAAATATCAAACATTTTTTCAAAATAAATTTCCATAAAAATTACAAAGTCAATATGTGCCTTAATGTAAAAACATCTACATCTTACTAAACTTCAGAATTAACTATTTTTGTGTGATAAAACTATGTATACAAACATTTTACTGTTTTACTGTTCCTCGATCAAGTACTTCAATTATTTACATGTAATCCAATACTACTATATTACACATTGCAAACTTGTAAGGACATACTGTGTCCAGTGTTTCATTTACAATTCATTGCACTTTTCTTTAAACAATATGTATCAAGTAAGGAAAAGCCAGAAGTATTGAACTGAAGTAACTTATTTTTGTTATCATATTCTTGTGCAACTATTTAAAATCCCAAACTAAGTTTGAACCGCGGCACTCTTATTTTTTGAGTTGAGGGGACCCAACTTACTTGGAGAAAATTTAATTCTATTATATGTTCACATAACACACAAAATCACCATAATATTTAAGTTTATCTTATTTTTTGAGTTGAGGGGACCCAAATTACTTGGAGAAAATTTAATTCTATTATATGTTCACATAACACACAAAATCACCATAATATTTAAGTTTATCACTTAACTAACTGTATTAACATTTTGAACATCATATTAGTTTGCCCAAGATGTTTCTCTGACATGAGGTATTCCTTGTCAGATAGTACACAATTTTGAAAATAGATGGTACAGCATACAAGGCAACTTGCCACTTGGTAATTTCTATATAAAAAGAACAAAATATTCCCATTCACAATGTAACAGGAAATAGTATGGATGTTGCAGTGTCAATTCAAAGCAAAATGCAGTCAAAAAGATCTCAATTCTAATGAAACTATATGATGATGAACAGGATTAAAAAAGCAACATGATTGCACCTTTAGTCTGCATCCCAGGAATGCATTATAAAGGAATTTTCTCCATCCTGATGTTACAATTTGTGCATTTACCCATAAAAAAAGTCCATTAATGCAAACATTGATTGAATAATAATGAAATACACTTTCAGGAATTATTGTGTCAATATCTCTAACATTTTATTAATTTGAATCATTACCAGATAAAACAAAGTGATTCCAGGTTGTAAAATCTACTACAACAGCAACTGAGAACACAATATCAATTAATACTATTTTCCTTTTTTTTTGTTTGAAATAAAAGAGGAATAAGATTTAACCTGGTACACATGTTTGTTAGAAAATAATTCTCATTTAACACGTCCCTCAGGAGCCAAGGGGTGTCTTTACACTACAGTTTCTTGAATATTAAAAGTAAGTTCAATTCAGAAACTCCCAGAGTGCATGGTTTTCTACAAATTTTTTCAAGATAAGTTTTTGTATGTTAATTGATAAATTTTTAAGTGAAATACAGCATCCTCAAGACTCCAAACTAGCTAGTACTAAGGTCTACCTAGTGGGAGTAAATTCAGTATATATCAATAAAGCAACATTCTCAGAATCATTAATCAAGCAACTGCCAACTTTTTATGCTTCTGCTATCATATCTTTATGATTAGCTTTCAAACGAGATATGAACGATTTCACCTGCGATTCAGTTGGGAAGATCAAAGCATCACGATAGTCAGCAGTAGAATGAGCAGACAGGAACACTTTGAAAACAGCTACAGGCATAATATTGTACTTGGCTTGCTGCACAATATCTACCAAGGTGGTTCTAAACAGTTCCTGAATACCTCTGCATGTCATTTGGAGACTTCCATGCTTCTTGTGCTAGGCCATTAAGCTCGTGATGCACCGACAGATTTCAGTCACTTTACCACTTCAAATCACTTTTCGCAGCCAATAAATAAGTCCAAAAAATTTCAGTTCAAATTAAGAAAAATTGGATTGGATAGTTTTTTTTCAACAAAAATGTCCCCCACTGGCTCATGAGGGGGCGTTGTTAATAAGTATATAATTTAATTTATCAATATTCAATATATATATATATATATATACAATGTTAAACTTAAAAAACAAAAAAAGCAGAAACAGATACAGTAAACAGAAAACAAAAGACAACTTTGGCCAGAATTTCATTTCCACTGGAAAAATAGATCAACAGCTTCAAAGTAATGCATAAAACTTATGCTATAAGATGTCATACTAACTATTGACATTCGAGTACTTCATAGTAGTCACTAATTATTTCTTACATTCATCACCAACATTCAACTATGGAAGATTGTTATTGTTATAATTATCAGCCTTGATCATATATTCTCAGGTGCTCAGCTTGCTTCTAATTTTTGAATTTCTTTAATTTTTCAAGCATACAAACAGATGTTCCTTTCTAGTTTATCATTATTATCATGAAGCACATTACAAATACACCATTAGAAAAGTTCTCATTCTTTATTAATCTACATTCATTTCAAGATTTTATATATCATATTTCACAATATAAAATATCTTTCTGAATTGGATTTTGGAGCCAGGTGAGCTCTGGTCAAACACCACATAAATTATAAAAGCCTGTACTGTGTATAAAATTCTTTCAGCATTTTTCTACAGGATATTTAACCTATGTTAATCAAAAGTCAATCAAAATTGAGAAGGAAAATATTAGAATATAAAAGATTCAAAAAATCAAATGTCTTGGCAAGCAGTACCAAGGCAATTCAATATTTATCAAGATAAACACCTTTTTTTTTTAATATTGTCTTGCTCTAGTATTTGATGAAAAAAAAGCCAAACTAGGCTTGAAAGTCTTCCCTCCCAAAAAAGGAATAATATCTTTGTCTAGATGTTTACAAACATTATTCATCCATATTTCTTTAAACTCAAATTGGACTTTAACCCTTTTTGGACCAGAAGGGTGTCACTGATATCTCAATATTTTTCCTTCTGTGTAAATACTTAACCAAACTGCATGCAACTTGGAACAAATTTACTGAATAGTATATAAAGTTTAGTGACTGCTTGCATGAGTAATAATGAACACTTTATTACAAGTTTAACACAGTAATAAATGCACAATGTTTTGACAAGGTTTTGTCAAGCCATTTCTAAACTTTACTGTCTTAAAGTTGGTTCCTCATCATCAAATTAAATAGCACATAATTTTGGCTTTAAATAATTAATATAAATTACCTTGGTTTTACTGTTATCTTTAATGTTGTGATTTTTTCCAAGACTTTGTTTTTAAACACTGTTATAAAAAAACATTAAAAATAGTTCCTTTTATCTTAAAATTATGTTCATTAGAAAGATCCATTTTATATATCCAATCAGTTTCAATTTGATTGGTATTCATTAACATATTTATTTTGACAACTGCAGTAGTCATTATTTCCAGTTACAAATAATAAAAAATACAGCAAAAAATTAATAAATATTACTGGTGACCTTGGACCTGACCTTTAGAAATGGTGTCAGGCAACAATATTTCCCATCAAGATCAATTCCTATCTAATATAGTTTCTTACCAAAAAATTATAAGTTTTTACTTACTCGCATTGTTTGAATACGATGAACTTAACAATAATATTCAATAAATAAGTATTTAAGTCACTGGAATATAAGTCACCTACAGTAAGTACTATTTAAATCTAAATAAAATTGCTTAGAAGAAAGTTTTTGTTGCTTTTAAATTAGAATAATTTAACATACAAATTTTTTCAGGCAAGAAATGAACATATAAAGAAACTATAAAAAAAAACAGAAATGTGATTTGATTCTACGTCTACTAAACTTCCCACTAGATTCTATTGTTCTCCTCGGCAGGAACTAATTTGCAATCACTCTCCCACAAAACTAAGTTACTTTTCATACCACCTTATTGACTCTACAATGATAAACAGTACATAAACTGCTCTATCCAATTGTATTGAAACTTTGCTTGTAGCCATTTCAGAACTGGGCTTCATTAGTAGTTGTTGAGACCACCTGCTGTGTGATCATAAAAGGGTCAAACAAGAGATTCTACAAATATAATATGTGAAAGAGAAGGAAAATTCCTTGAGAAACAAAACATGAATAAGTATACTTTCAAGAAATCTTAATAAATATAAACCTATGCATTGAGATGTACAGAAAAATTATAAAACAAAAGTTATAAGTATGTTACTTACAGGCATGACTCTTCAGAGCTGTACACAAATGCTACAACTTTGACAAAATATCAATTCAAAAATATTTTTGAGTTAAAAATTATTCAAACAGAATTAGAATTATTACTTTTACTAAATTTTAAATTTGATATGTAGGCATAAACTTACCACCTGAAAGGTGCTCATTGGTCTTGACAGAATTAAGTGGCATGTTCTTCAAGGTGATAAAATGATCAAACACCACAAAATACTGTTGTTCTATAAATTTATCATGTTAATTCCTCTTGTTTGCAAACTACAAGATTACCCTCTAACAATAGGAAGTGACCATATATGTGAAAGGATATCTATCTAACTATTCAGGAAACACAAAATGGAAACGTGTACATTTACATA